AATGTCCATGGCAACCGAAATGAACCATAATTGTAGGAATGATGATATAGCAAACATAGTCATTTTGAGTTCAGTTAATTTTTGAACAATTTTATGATAAATATTACTGACAAATTATATGTTTTGGAGCGAGCTTGATTTGCTGAATCTAGTGGTATAATTATAAATCATGATTTCTGATTCGACAGCTGTTTACGGGGGAATAAATATGTATCAGATTAAAAGACAGAAACAAAAACGTACGGACCCCCAAAAGTAAATACTTATATCTAATTGATGGCCAACTGTAAAACACCCGCACATCATCACACACGCACCCACATACCCACACACTATTACCAGCACGTCTACCTCATGTTGCAGGTGATGCAGCTCCTAACTACTTGACGATAATCAGCCGAGGGTTCACGAGCACAGAGATTGGCAATCCATTATTTGAGTGCTACACAGAACCAAACAATCCAAATGCTGTCATTACCACGGGAAGATATGTCGTCACGACTAATTATAGATCTGGATATGGACCAAATCGACAGCCGCCTTCACCAGATCCAGAGATATTCTTAGGCGAAGATCAAACATCAATCATCTATCATACAGAGTTGAACTCGATTCAACCTTATGGATCGTATGGCGTTTTCTACTGCGAATCGTCAGTAGATGGAATGAGTACCGTCGTACCGACCATTTTTCTGAGATCAGACGGTAAGTCATGGAGGTGTAGAGGTGTTGTTCTCTAGACATTATGAAGTCCCCAACAAGCACATGGTATACAGGGTTCAGATAATGTCATTTGGCATTACTTATCATTTGGCAAAACATTTATCCACATTAGTCACTCTCCACCTAGATGATACCAAGCGCGGATCCACGGGGGAGGCTAAACGCCCCCCCCCCCCGGTAAGAAAATTAAAATAAAGACGGACCCTCAACCCTGGCAAAAAAGGGGAAAATGAAACCAACATTTTTACTCCCCCCCCCCCCCCCCCCCCGCTTATTCACCGGCTAATTCGCCGCTAATATTTTCTCACGCAAAAAAAAAAGAATAGTGCTCATTACTCAATAATGTGGTATACAAAAAAATCTCTGATGCTACATTTTTATTCAATTCCATGCAGTGAGCAATATTTTAGGTACTATATTTATAGAAATAGAGCTACTTAATTCCTCAGTTAACAATTTTTACCATTTGCTTTTCATCTATGAAAATTAATTATGCGTGTGACTTTTTTTTACGTGTGACAATTTTACCTCTGGCATTTTTACCTCTGACATTTTTACCTTTCCCATTTTAACCTTTCCCATTTTAACCTCTGTCATTTTTTAATCTGATATTTTAAACTCGGACATTTTTACTGCTGATATTTTAACCTCTGCCAATATTAACCCTGGCATATTTACCTGTGACATATTTACCTATCCCATTTTAATTCTGTTATTTGTACCTCTTATATTATAACCTCTGACATTATTTTGTACATGTGACATATTTACCTGGCACCACGACATGGTCACTCTGCTATTCAGGCTACTCATGGACAATATGTAGATGACACCCCATCCCTTCTCTCTCACTACCGTTTTTCTGATTTGTACTAATTCTTCTTACAAGTCCTTATCGACATGTTCTCTTTTCAGCATATTTCGTACCGTCTGGTGGAAGATTCACACAAACTGTGACGTCAGGACAAGTCAATGTATCTATTCAATTCGACCAGGTCTATCCCAGTCCATCTGATAGAAGCGACAACCTGTGGCGCTTTAATGGCACGTCATTTATCGACGATTACTTCTTAATGGCTCCAGACATTACGTATACGTTCACTGATCCCATACAATCATCACAAGAGGGTATTTACGAAATTCATGTATATGCACACAGATCTGAAGCTAGGGGTGGACTAATGAGACTCATCGTTGTAGGTAGGTTTTGACTGTACATGTATGAGCGATAACGCGATGTGTTTCTTAATACTTTGTACACAGTCATGTTGAATAGATTAACAAATTCATACTTACACATTGCAGTTAACCAAAAGCTTGTGTGCGTGTGAGAGAGTGAGTGGGGGGGGGGGGGACCTGAACATATTTTCTTTAATATTTCCAGTTGCGTTTACCCAACCAACGTCTAACTTTTTTATCCAAGGGAAATGTAATTCGTCTCATAATTCTGCAAATTCATAATTATTTTATTGTTCAACAAATAGGTAAGTGGTCCACAATATGAACATATTTTCTTTAAAGGGATAGTTGAGTTCTGTTTTCAGATCGCATATGCCTTCAAAGTGCACAGTTATTGCTCTTATTCTTAGCTATGACATTTCTAGTGCCCTTTTGGGACCTAAAATTGCTAAGAAGGTAATTTTAGACCCCAAAATGTGTGAAATTTGGCCAATACTATCATACAAATTCAGCTCCACTTTTAAAAAAATACGGTGACTGTTAATTAATTAGTTAATTAATTATAACAATACATGGGCCGGCTGATTGTGCGTTATATAACAAACACGGAAAAGCCAACATCGGCATTGGCTGAAATACAACGCTAAAGGCGCTATTTTTTTTTCAACGGCTTTCATCGGCTGGTTCAAATTATCTAATATTTGTGGTAGCCGGTACACAAGTTTTAGAATGATCGTTATATTTATGGATATTTCAGCTGTCTCTGAACCGATTTCGATCAAAGATGATTTTGTCATTTAAATTGTATGTTCTTTCAAATTTGACAGTCAGTTTTTCATTATCTCACAAAATAATTATTTTGTGTAGCACCGTAGGCAACAGAACTCAACTATCCCTTTGATATTCCTAGTTGCGTTCACCCAACCAACATCAAACTTTTCCACCCAAGGAAAATGTTATTCGTCTCATAAGTCTGCGAATTCATAGTTATTTAATTGTTCAAACAAATAGGAAAGTGGTCCCGAATTATGATCAAGACATGCTGTCAAAGTCAATTGACCAATATTAGCCAATACAAGATAAATTTATATTCAGTGCTCTCAGTTCTCAAACATTTATAACTGTTTTATAATTTGTCCATTATTTGAATCCCCACCAACTCTCTCTCTCGATTCTTCTTCCATGCAATAAAATTGCTAAGAAAGTTGGATTTCCCTGTAATTCCTTTTACTTTAGGATTTATAAACGTATCAAGCACTTGATTCCCACGTAAAACCAATGAATATTTAAAGGTATTACAAAGTTTTGGGAAATTTTGAAAAATGGGTGGATAGTGAATCTTTACAATTTTGAAATATTTGGATGCCCCTGTGGATGTATTAAAAGCACTAGAAATGTTACCCCCTAAAACACTTCTGACTTAAAAAAAAGTTGAATATTAAGATTTACCGGTGCTCCCGGTAAATTTAAATACATTTCAAATAGCTCCTACGGCCGTACAGTGGTAGATGCGACCATGAAAACATCAGAATGTGTAGTTGTGGTATATAATTTACGAACGGGAATAGCTTATCGGTCGATTTTAGTCAAGAAACATTGTTTTATAGCTTAATTAATATCTTGACCGAGAGAGGGAGCTATACAACATAAAGTATTTATTATTTACAATTTCATAATTTTAGAGTCGATTTCGACCGCGACAACGATCAGTGAATATTGTAGGATCGCATATGCTTCCAATATGTTCATTTGAACCAAATTCACGACCCCATACCAAAACTTTGTATTACCTTTAATAAATCCAAATCCTCAATTGCCTGCTTCCAAATTTCCACGTGCAGAATGTCCGTTGGGTCGATACAATTCATCATCAGGCTGTGTTCTGATCTGTTCTTCTTGTTACAATGGAGGGATCTGTGATGATGAAACAGGACAATGTATCTGTGCTCCAGGATTCAAGGGAGAAACATGCGAAAAGGGTAATTTTCCTAGTTATTGAGATTTGATTTTTTTTTTGGTAATAATCAAACATATTTTCAAAGGTTGCATTATGTTTCAAGAAGAAAAGAGGTGTTTTGATTTTTAATTTATTTTAGTATGATAGTTTTTGGTTTGGGATTATTAATATTCATGTTAGTTATTCTAGCTTTGATATATACTTAATTACCTAATTAAATAAAAAATAGAAAAGAATTAAATAAACCCACGTAGGTGTTTTATTGCTTTTGTATTTATCAGTGCTTATTATAAAAATTGAATGATATTACAGCATAATTCTTGTTTTGCAAAGGAGAAACTGATAACGTTCGAGAAAATAATTGTTCATCACATGGACAGTGAATATAAAATACACAGATAAAATGAGAAAATTTTAGGGGTACACATAGAATCAAAATAACTCACAAAATTATAACATACCGTGATGACATATTGACATAGAGCAAAAAGCAATATATGCGATATCTTTCAATAAATATACTCAGTGAAATATAATTTGACCAACCTTTGCCTGGTTTTGTGCCATAATATAGGTTGCGGCGGTAACCGTTTCGGAAGATCATGTGAATATAGATGTAATACATCAGTAGACGATAATACAGCTTGCAGAGGAGTTCAAATGTGCTTACCAGACCCATACGGATGTTCTTGTGCACCAGGATACAAAGGCCTGAATTGCACAACAGGTAACTCTTCTTCCATGACTTGATACTATATTAATAAGAATAAAAATAATAATAATAATAATAATAATAATAATAATAATGATGATAATAATAATAATAATAATAATAATAATAATGATGATGATGATGATGATAATAATAATAATAATAACAATAATGATAATAACAATAATAGGTTGAAAACTTCTTTTTACACAATCAATAAAATTGCAGAAAAGAGTGTTCTAACAACGAGTAATATTTAGCCCAAATGACTAATGAAATTTATAATAATGAAGATGAAAATAGAAACGTTGTTTCTATCCCTCTATCCACTCCCCTCTCCCCTAACCTATCTCTCTCTCTCTCTATTCTTCTTCTTCTTCTTCTTCTTCTCCTTCCCCTTCTCCTTCTTCTGTCTAATAGAATGTGATCAAGGTGAGTTTGGAGCTAGTTGCACGGAGAAATGTCACTGTGTATCAGGAGAGTGTGATCGATTTACTGGAGTCTGTGCAGGAAGCTCCACGGAGTGCCAGTATGGCTGGGCTGGGAGTAGCTGTCAAAGTAAGTAAATCGCTAGATTTATTTTTTGTATTGCGGGGCGACAGCCCGTCCCTTCCACAGCTTTTAAGGTCCCAGTATTCTGGGCATTCGAGGGCAAGATATTCCAGCAGGAAGGTGCCCCAATTTTTAGTTTATTATAACACAACTGCCCCTGTAGATGCTAGCTGGGACTCACCGAAACTTGCATTCTTAGCACCAGATTTTGTTTAAAATTCGAATGTCCTACCTGAGTTGAGCTGGCGCACTTTTTACGAATTTCTTAAGAGGTGGTAATAATGAAGACGATCAAATTTGTAATTAAACCTGATTAGAAAGTTTAAACTTGATACAGATAAGCACCGAAATCCCCCAGGGGCCCGAACTGGAGTACTAGGGTGACATGAGGGCAAACCGCAGTCAAACTACTTCACGACGATGAAATCTACTAATCTACTAATATTTCAATAAATTACTTACCCATTCTCCGTGAACTAAATCTTCTCACTTTGTACGAGTAGCGTCGTGCATAAATCTGCATAATTCAATTGACTTAATGCATTATGCCAATTTAGGCGCTGTGCGCAGCGACTAATTTTTTAGGAGCTTGGGCACCGTGTTACACTTAAGCCCATGTTGCACTTTAAGACCTCACTGCTCTTTCCTGATGCGTTCTGCAATTACAATTTAAAAATGCAAGATTGACGACGAATTTATACCGTTAAATTTCACATGGTTAACCACAAATTATCATGTACATCCCTGATTAAAAGAGTTTTATGCGATTTCAATATCAATACAAACATTAATGTTCATCTTTCATGTTTTTTTTTTAATTGTACCATTAACTGAACAAACCCGGATAAATTCAAGTCGTATCAACTGTAAAGTATTCTAAAATATATCGATAATTTGTATTTAAAACTTTATTTCGAACAATATTTGTCGAGAACATGAATCATTAAAAGACGATTATGGTTGCCCTATGCTACTCAAAGAGCAAAATGTTTTCCTCGTAAGCTTTCTAGGTTCTAATTTACCTGGATTTTTCTTTTACAGAATGTCTGGCTGGCAGGTTTGGTCGGAACTGTTCAGGTAGGTGATGTATTTCTATTCAAACTTTTGGGGCTTGGTAAGTTGTGAATAAGGTATTATTTTAATAGCAAATTATCTTCTAGTTTAAAAAAAAATAGGTTATATTGTTATATAGAGAGTACACAGCCTATGAGCAATAACCCTCCGTTTTAGGATTTCGTTTTTCTTGGACACACTTTATTGCCTTTTCTGCAGCAAAAGTCAACTCACAAACAGACTCGGCCCTATTAATGAACCCACAGTCTTCAAGTTTCAGTTTTCAGTTTACTATAACGTCCATAAACTTCAGAATTGTATGCAAAAAAAAAGAAAGTTGTATCAATTACATGGTATATATACACGTAGAAACAATATATTTAGATTTAGATAACTACATATAAACTATATTCAAACAAGATTTCTTATATTTTGAAGGTACAATTCAAGTCGAAAATATACCGAAGAACAAAGGTCAAACGAGTCTACAGTTCTCCTGCCGTAGAGAGGGTGGCGAGTTTTTGTCATCAGTACCACCGGTTGTAGGCCTCTATCGTGTAACGGATGGCTCAGAACGGTTCTCAGGTGGAGGAATTACTAGCATCGGAAATATTCACCATGAATTCACAACTACTGGTTTCTTTCAAGTCGATTACGTAACGGCGGAAGATCTGTTTGTCTGCATCATCTACGATGTTAATAGTTACAGAAGTGCTGAGGTTACTGCTGACATGAACAGTAGGTGTCTCAGAAATAATTATTCACTATTATAATTTTGTCAAAGAATGTGCTCCACTTGAATAACATTTCAAAAATAGAACTTTTTACAAACCCTTTCTTTACCTTTGATAAAGTGAAAGGGTACTATATTAAAGCCAGCATGACACAAGCGTTTGCACAGAGTATTGGTGATCGTATCGATGCGCTGGATTATCATTGGTTGAAGGTATCCAATGTCACTAGAAGGACAAATAACTAGACTTGCCTAATATCTTCTTCTTTCACTCTCAACCAAGTTTTACCACGACTGACAAGGCCGCCCTTGATCAAAGAGACTACTCCAACTTCAATCACACTGTCCTGGGACGGATGGATGGCTGGGGTAGACATTGGCGATCCACCACTCATTGGATACAACGTATACTACAAGGAGGCACTTCCAGATTCTTCACAATGGATCCGTCTTGATCGAGGAAACGCTTTGGATGTTTCTGAAATGATCGATAGTTTGTCTCCTGACATTGACTACTGGTTTGGTGTCTCTGCAATGAGGGATGGCGATGGAGGAGAAGGACCTCTGAAGAATGTGACTGCTAGTACCACTTGTTTGCGTGAGTAGAAGCACATATAGCTTGCGATATTAGACAATGCCCCACCCCCTGCTACAATATACAGTGAGAAAATTTAGCCGCCATCCAATATTATTGTTCTAGTCGCTATATAAGAATACCCTCCCAAGGGATCGACATTTCGACGTCCTCCCCACCAGGTCTGACAATTCTGATCCACCTCTCTATGCCCCGAACACAACAACACACCTTATCAGCTTTTCTTGGCATCATGCATGGGGCCATTTGTCGTCAAGACACACTTCCGATATATCCATTATAATTTACTCATTATGTTAATCGGGAACTTTTAAAAAAATGTCGAAAGCAAATCATCAACAACAATCTATTCAGTACCAGAAACTGTCAAAATTTTTACAATCATTTTAATGTCTATGCTTAGAACGAGGCATGGGGCAAACACCTTGATCAGACATTATTAACCCCTCTTTGTATCCGAAGATTGGCACCCCTCAAAGACTGAATAATTTCATGCGTAAAGCGTCAATTAGTAATGCAAATGTTTTAGAAGTTGATATAGTTCAAGGTTATAAATCTCAATCCTCCCATGTTTCGCCTGTCCAATCATTTCAAATGAAGTCAGGAAATAAATCAACCACTTAATAAATAGGATTGCCTGTTTTGTTAATGTGATTCTTTAATTGAAGCAAGATTCTTCATGAGACAGTGTATTCGTTGAATTATGAAGAGTCTTAAATATTCATTTATCTTAACATTTCAATCAAATAAATTGGTACCAGTGTTCATGTTCTAGTTAAGAATACGTGATAGCCATTGTTTATGTTTGTTCGTTATTTTAATTTCGTCGTTCTTACTTCAATGTACGTATAGCCCCTACCGGAGTTCTTTCACATGTGACAGTCCATCAAGTGTCATCTCCTGAACAGCTTCTTATTACATGGCAGGTAAGATCAGGGGCCGATCCTAGTGTGTCCCTGGGGCAGCTCCCCCCCCCCCGGCCCCCACCACCACCCTATCCTCCAACTCAAGCTTCTCAAAGAGGAGGCGAGACAAAACTTTCATTCGTTTGGTATTAGTAGACCCCATGCATGCACATCTTTAAATTTTCATTGACAATGCTTATTACATGGATGTAATATTATATCGACAATTCATTCTACTTCCAACTCGTCTTTATAACAACAGCCATTTTCTTACAATGTTAAATCACTCTTGCACCTCTGGCACATCACCACGGACAAATTCTCCCGGAATATTACTCTATAAACTATAAACCCCAGACCACCACCCTAGGAAAAATCTGTGGATAAATATCACTGTTTTCATCACCCTGAGGGTAGCGGGGTAATTTTTAGGGAATACATTTTCCAGGATAATTTGTCCTAGGGAGCATTAAAGTCCTAGAGGAAGTTGTCCGAGATATTTTCCAGAAGTCAACCTGATGCATACGTTTCACCATTGAAAAAAAATCTTCTTAATTTGTATCTCTTTTCTTTCGAAGTCTCAAATGCCTGACGGTGCTAGTGCAAACTGTCGCAGTGGTTTCACGAACATTTCCATCTACTTCTCTTCGTCCGATGTATCTCCTCAAGGCTCAGTACAGATTCATGTTGATTCTGCTGGTAGTTACTACCTTGGCTCAGTGGTACCTAACACTCAGTACTCGGTTTATATGACATTGTGGAACAAAGATAGCGAAGGTCCTCGAAGCCAAGCTTCGTTTGGGATGACTTCTCAAACACAAACAAGTAGGTTAAGTCAGACTTTACAAATGGTCTATCTATAATGTAGATGTTATTATTGAATGCCGGGATAGGGGCGGACTTGTAACAGACGTGTGATGTGCGGTTTAATATATTTTTACCCTGTGTACTGGATATTCTTCTTTGTTTTCACTTAGAATAGATGAAGGATCAAAACAGAGCGTAACTCTACGCAAGGTGTAAAGAAAGGTCTTGTGTGGCTAGGCTTGTGGAGATAGGACGCGGTAAACATCCGCAATACACACCCCAAACCGCTGCGTTTTAAAATAATTTTTACTGTAAATAAATGGCAACTGCATGCGCGCAACGAAAATCCTGTACGTACGTATTTATTGAGATTTTTGTGCGTATCTAACGTTTTACGTCATCATATATTTTTCTTTAATGCCGTGATTTCACAGCGTCTGAATGAGTCTTTAAATAATTGTTTAATTTATTTATTTCTGATTTTTAGACAGGGTAACTCATTATCGTCAATAATGGTGGTCTTCCATGAGGCCTTGTCAAACATAATGAGGAACAAAAGTTTTTTAAAAAACACAATGATAACAAAATCATGAACATAAACTCATAACAGCAAAAAAGAATACGTAAGAACAAGTATAAACATAGAATTTCGTATCCTCGTAATGAATGAATAGTTTGTTTGTTTTGTTTTGCTTTGCTTTTCAAGTAGTAGCATGTTTCGGTATGTATTAGACTTTTAAAAGGCAACATATACTTTTAAGAGTTCATAAACAAAGCATACACACTATACACTTATAGGCTTTGTTAAAAAAGACATTATGGATACCAAAATTATATTGATGTTTTATCATAACTTAATCACAATTATAATTAATAAATCCTGATTGAGGTGCCATAAGAATGGGCAGAAATTGAATTTTCTAGAAATGTTATGTTCTCTTTGAAATTCAAATACCGCCCGCAAAATAACTTTTTGGTTTCCTCTCTTCAAATTGTTTTTAATCGCTCATGCGTGAAATATGCATCATATGAGTTGAACCAAGTGAAAGAGGAGGCTCTAAGCTTAACAAACATGTGTCATTTATTAATCATAATTGCGAATAAGCTACGATAAAACATCGATAATTCTCGGTTTCGTTTTTTTCGGGGACGCACTGTATACATATTTACAAACAAAAACAATATTACAGGATAGTAAATCAATTTGTCAAATCAATGCATGTAATAAAGTAAAGCAATCGAATGTACACTCTTAAAGGGAAAGTCCACCCTGAAATTAAGTTACTTTTAATAGGAGTAGAAAAATGAGAGAAACAAGTCAGTGAAAGTTTGAGCAAATTCCGATTAAAAATAAGGAAGTTAGGATTTTTGAAGTTGTGATCAATCAAACACAAATTGGCAACTCTATGACGTATCATGCGAGCTCAACTTCCATTTGCTCAGTACTAAAAAAATCTAAAATTTTCATTTTCCCTCAAGAAAAATTTCAACCATACATGCACCCTAAATATAATAATTGCAAATATGTTTCTATACTCCCCCTGCAAGGAACAAAAATATATTCCGTCATCAATAACGAAGAAAACATGATTTTATGGAATATTATGCACAAAGCAAATGAAGGAGAGCTCGTATAATAAGTCACAGAGTTGCCAATTTGTATTTGATTGATCACAACTTCAATAATTCATAACTTTCTTATTTTCATTCAGAATTTGCTCAAACTTTCACTCACCTGATTTTCTTATTATTCTGCCTCTATCGAAACAAACTTATTTTGGGGGTGGACTTTCCCTTTAAATAACATTAATTAAAAATAAAAATATATCTATAACTGATAATAAATTATATGAAATCATTCTTTCAGTTTGAAAAGCATTATGATGTTTGTTCTGCTTCCCAGGCGTGTCTTCATCTATTGTACCCTGGGTCCTGTTTGGTATTCTTCTCCTTATTTGTGCTGTCGTCATCCTCGTTCTCATTTTTCGATGGTAAGCTTACATTAACAGGAAACCAACAATAATTCGTGTTTAAGGTATTCAACACATGCATGTGATAATATCGAAGAAAACTTCAAATCATAGTTTTCCGCCACTTCGCCTGGGGCCATTATCGTTTAAATCTTTCTTTTTCTCTCTCTCTCTCTCTCTCTCTCTGTCTCTCTCTCCCTGTCTCTCTCTCTCTCTCCCTCCCTCTTTCTCTCTCTTTACCTGTCTTTCTGACTCTCTCCCTCTCTCTATCTCTCTATCACACGCGGTCCATATCTTACTTTGTTTTCCCCTGACCTGGCATATCTCAATATTCTAGCAATTCAACGAATTGGACGTGTGCATTAATGAGATCGTTAAACATGAAACAATGATGAAATAATAGTAACAAAAAAAAAATCAATAATGAAAATAATGATAAAAATAAATATCAATAATAATGATGTTAGTAATAATGATAATGATAACAATAATATTATCATTAACAAAAACAATAACAACAACTTTAATAATAATAATAATTTTGAAAACTTTAATGATGATATATTGAGTCATATTTACCAAGGGCAGCCACAGTATACTGCCCTTCCTTTAAAGATATTGATTTGCATTTAAAATTAGATTAATAACCTAATCACTAATGACATTGTCCACGAGATGAATTTGTCTTTTCCCGTAAAATTCTTGTTCCAGGAAAAGACGCAAGACGGACCCCCAACCTCCAGAGCCAAGAGCCAACCCTGCGACTGAAGATCAGCCGATATATGAGATCCCAACCTTCGATGGGTCGCCTCCTGTAGATGCCTATGAAAGTTTGAAACGTTTAGAAGAAAACACTACAGACGATGCTAACATCAATGTCATGTAAAAAAATCTGATTGAATCAAAGAAATTGGACACGTCTGTGTACAGAGGTGTATCTAGAAATTACTCAATAATATTTAAAATCTTAAATCAACTCAAAAGGCACTCCTTTTAGTACATACTACTAACCCGCCACCGCCCACGCCATTTTTACCCACATCTTTCTTTCTCTCTCTCTCTCTCTCTCACTCTCTCTCTCTCTCTCTCTATCTCTATCTCTATCTCTCTCTCTTTACCTGTATTTCTGTCTCTCTCTCTCTCTCTCTCTCTCTCACACACTCTATTTCTCTCTCTCTCTCTATCTCTATCTCTATCTCTCTCTTTACCTGTATTTCTGTCTCTCTCTCTCTCTCACACTCTATTTCTCTCTCTCTCTATCTCTATCTCTCTCTCTTTACCTGTATTTCTGTCTCTCTCTCTCTCTCTCTATCTCTTTACCTGTCTTTTTGTTTCTCTCTCTCTCTCTCTCTCTCGCTCTCTATCTATCTATAACATGCGTCCACTATCATACCCTCCCCTTATCTCTTACTTTGTTTTCCTCTCACTTGGCATATCTCAATATTATAGCAATTCAACGAATTGAAATTGTGCATTAATGAGATCCTTAAACATCAAATAATGATAACAGAAGTGACAACAACAACAATAATAAAAAATAATAAACATCAATATTAATGATGATAGTAATAATGATGATAGTAACGATAATGATTATAATAATAATATTATTAACAAAAAAAATAATAAAAACATTAATTATAATGATAATAATGACAACTTTAATAATGATAATTTGAGACAGGTGTGCCAAGGGCAGGCACATTAGTATATATATATATATATATATATATATATATATATATATATATATATATATGTATATAAATTGCTCCTCCTTCAAAGATATTGATTGGCATTTAAGATTACTTATCACTGATGACATTGTCAACGGGATGAATTTGTCTTTTTCCGTAAATCTCTTGTTCCAGGAAAGGACGCAAGGCGGACCCCCAACCTCCCAAACCAAGAGCCAATCCTAAGACGGACGAAGATCAGCCAACATATGAGAATCCAACCTTCGATGGGTCGCCTCCTGTAAACGCCTATGAAAGTTTGAAACGTTTAGAAGACAACACTACAGACGATGCTAACATCAATGGCATGTAAAAAATCTGATTGAATCAAAGAAATTGGACACGTCTGTGTACAGAGGTGTATCTAGAAATTACTCAATAATATTTAAAATCTTAAATCAACTCGAAAGGCACTCCTTTTATTACATAATACTAATCCGCCACCGCCCACGCCATTTTTACCCTCATCTTTCTTTCTCTCTCTCTCGCTCTCTTTCTTTCTCTCTCGCTCTCTCTCTCTATCTCTATCTCTCTCTTTACCTGTATTTCTGTCTCTCTCTCTCTCTCTCTCTATCTCTTTACCTGCATGTCTTTTTGACCAAGAGCCAATCCTAAGACGGACAAAGATCAGCTAACATACGAGAACCCAACCTTTGAAAACACCATTACAGACGACGCTACTATCAATGTGATGTAAAAATCTGAATGAATCGATAAAAGAATGGACTTAAGTCTGTGTACAGAGGCGTATCGAGAAATGACTCAACTAATTCAAAATATTAAATAAACTCAAAAGGCACAAATGTCATACTGAATAACCGGAAATGGCCTCCAATGCCAAAATAACAAGAGACAGGCGAATAAAGATGTCACAATTAAATTGAAAATACATACTTTAAACAAAAGTAGGGTTATGAACAATTTGATTGAGATGTGACACTTGGCTAGGTTATTCCGTTTCTTGTAAGATTTGCATTAACATTGTTGTTTTGGATTCTTCTGTGTCCCTTTCTTAAAGTAGATATCCATTGATTTTAAAAAATAACTTTATTTTCATTATTGCAAAGTTGAAACTTTGATTCGACAAGGTTATCAAAATTCAATGCTTGAAACATTCGAAGTAATGATTGTTATAAATTGCAAAACGCTTAAATTCAGCCCCGGCATAGCACCTGAAAACTTTCCGAATGCTGCTGAGATGTGTGAGATCACAGTATGGATATGATTTACACAAGCAGACGATGTCCCATGACATCTCACACATTTTCAGTGCCTGTGTTTTCATCTTCTCTTGAGTTCTTTCTCTTACTTAACTACCGTCAGGCTAAATGTATAATCTATTGCCTCATTCTAAACCCCGCGCATGGTTTTATTTTGATGACAAATGCAGCGATACAAAAATAAAGGAATCTGTCGCTTGTAAACAAAATAAGACGCCATTGTATATATAGCTGCACACACCGCGTTTCAAGAGGGAACAAATGCCGATCTTAATATCATTCCGGGGGGTTTTCAATTTGAAAGTCTGGTTTCTTTGATCGTTAATTAACCCCTATCATGTGTATTTACAAGCAAAAGATATTAGTTATCAGAATCGGGTCATATCCCCTTTTGAATGGTTTGAAATGCCATTACATTTATATACACTAAACTCGTTAACATTTGACAAATAATAGCTTTGCAAATAATTATGTTCATTCTTCATGGAATGTCGTCTGCTTGGGCAGTATTGGTCCATATAGTGACATCATTAAAACATCGATATTTTTCCGGCGAATCTCTCGTATATCCCAGCTGCTATGGAGGTGGTTGTATTTGTATTTTTATAAATCACCCGATATGTAGTTGACCTAAAACTTGTACGATGGCCATCTGTTAGCTTACCAGTTTCTAGTGATACATTAGTCGACATATTTGTGATTTTCTTCGAATTTCACCTTTTTTCCTGCAGTATCGCATTTTCATTATTCAAGAAGTTTACAATCATATATAGGTCTGAATGCTTATCCTTAGACTATAGTCAAGAAAATTGTTTCTTGGAAGTCTCTTTCATTATAATATAAATTTGTGTACAAAAGCTTCCAGAAGGATAGGAGTCCTGTTGAGACTAATATTTGTTTATCACACAATATAAATATATACTGACTACTTTGTATCATAGCTTATCTTTTCCTCACCTAACATGATAATATGGTAATGAGTCATACTTTAAAGGTAATACAAAGTTTTGGTATGGGGTCGTGACTTTGGTTCAACTGAACACATTGGAAGCATATGCGATCCTACAATATTCACTGATCATTGTCGCGGTCGAAATCGGCTCTAAAGTTATGAAATTGTAAATAATAAACACTTTATGTTTTATAGCTCCCTCTCAAGGTCAAGATATTAATTAAGCTCTAAAACAATGTTTCTTGACTAAAATCGACCGATTAGCTATTCCCGTTCGGAAATTATATACCACAACTACATATTCTTAGATTTTCATGGTCGCAGCTACCATTGTATGGCCGTAGGAGCTATTTGAAATTTATCAAAATTTACCGGGAGCACCGGTAAATCTTTATATTCAATTTTTCTCGAAAGCAGAAGTGTTTTAGGGGCTAACGATTCTAGTGTTTTAATACATCCACGGGGGCATCCAAATATATCAAAATTGTAAAGAATCACTATCCACCCATTTTTCAAAATTTCCCAAAACTTTGTAATACCTTTAAAGGTCCTCTTTTTAAATTCGTAACACTACAAACACGAGCTATTAGATTCATTTCGTCACCCCATATAATTGCCTATCATGCAAGTGCTATAGAAACGTGTTAAAGGTAAAGACCAGTATTGGAAACGCCCCAATTTTAAAAAATGAAATGGAAGCTCTCATTACCAATCATGTGAAAGAATATGTTTTGACTAATACATGATGATAAAAAACCGCCTACTAATTGATATATTTGGTAAATTTGTTTCTCTCATGGTCTGTGAGAGATATAGGGTAGTCCCATATACATCTTTCTGTGTATAGTGCTTGTAACTTTACGAAGAATGGGCCAAATTTCTTATCATTTTGATGATTCCAGAACCTTGCAGATGCTAGATGCTAGATGATCAACCTTTTCTGATCGATTCCACAACGTTTCTTTCACAATGCAATCGCATGACCATAACTGGTCTTTACCTTTAAGGGTATATACAATTTTTAAAAATCAGTTCAGGGACTTGCCAGTTATTGAAGAAATCAGTTTCAGAGACTGATAAGATGTTAAAATATATTTTCAGGTAATTTACCAAGATTCTTTGTTACTATGTTTACCTTTAATAATCATTTGTACATTCTTACATTACTCGTCAATGTTGTATGTTTTTATTTAATGTATTACGGTATTTTATCATAATTCTGTTTAAAATGATTAGATTTGAAATAAATGTCGTACTTTATTACTATGCTATAAAACCTGGTACCCTGTCCACAAGCATTTTGCTTTTAAGGGTATCCCACCGTTTTATATTATGATTTGTTTTTCTGTTGTTAGTTTGCCTTTGTACTTGTAAGTATTTGCATTGTTTAGTTATTGAAATGAAATTGAATTGTATTGAACTGACCTGAATGATTTTTTGTTGTTGGTGATTCTTTTATTTGCGTTGAAATAAAGAACCAGTCTTCCTGTATGAATAAATTAACCTATTAACTACTGAATTCTTTCATACCCATAGGCTTTTATACAGGAGCCACCTGGTTCCAGGGTTAATAGGAAGGGGAACATGGATGTGGAGGGTGATGGGTAAAGGAATGCAAGAGGGGTGTGTTGGTCAGGAGAGGGGGTGAGACGGGGTAGAGAAGGAGGAGAAGAGAGGAGGTAGAAGGAATTGAATGATTACAAAAATAGACCTATACAGCAAAAAAATGCATTTGACAAAACGAGTTAGTGAAAGTAATAAAAAAAAAAGTTGGAGAGATATTTGGGAAATAAAAGGAAAGACGAATATAAAAGCAGGGTAACCGTGAGCTCAAACTAAACTTGAATATTCCACAAAACTAAATGATTTCTATTATATATGTATTTATTCATTCATTTATATATTTAGTCAATCATTTATTTATTTATTTATTTATTCATTTATTTACCTGTTATTCAAAAACAAGTAAGGTTCATAACAAAATTATGAGAAAACGTAAAGGGAGAAAGGAAGTAAGAAATACCGAGGACAGCCAAAAGGAAACTGGCTACTGTCAAAAAGTTTTTCCTCACTAATAGGGTTTACAAACTGATACAAACAACCAAAATTTTCAGTTTATGTTTATCCTCTGATGATTATAATGGATTAATTAAAATAAAAACATGCAAGGGATGTCACCGTTGCATCAATCAAAGAGTGAGAAAAATTTAATCGCTATACCCTGAGTGACGGGTCGGTAGGTTTAAGCATAGAATAATGTATAAATTACTGGCGGATCGGGGGTATCTGCCTCTGCAACCCACAAGGGGCCCTAAGGCGGGCCCCTGGACCCCATTCGTAAAGTCAAGTTCATATATTCACACAAAACATGATATAATCTTTTACATAGAAAAGAGACTGGTACTAGTCCATTTATCAACATATATTAAATGACTACATCATTAAATGAATGGTGATAGGACCCCTGTAGAAGCTAAGCTTATGAGCGGGGCCCTATAGTCAACAAAATACATACATTGAATAAAAAGAATGTAATGTATATAAACAAAGGATGGAAAAACTAAGCTACAGAATATAGAGCACAAAAATATTCACACGCGCACACACCCACACACGTACACGCACAAACACACACTCCTCACTCAGTGGATGTCTGCTAACGTTCTCACCTCAAGAAAAATATACTAAATAGGATAGGTGTAGGGAATTGGAGACCCTTAAGCACATTTGCATAATTTACATAAACATGAAAAATGTTACACATACAGAAAGTTTTGTATTCTCTTCAGTAACTTCTTCTCTTTTTTTGTAACAAAATTGCGGTCATGATGATTAATAAGATAACAATGATTAATGACGTCATCACCAAAGGCTCTCATTACGTACATGTAAAGGTAATAAGTTACAAATCAAGACATTTAAATACAATTTGAATGAAAATGGAATTGTTATAGTTAGTTCAAACACTTTTTGAAAGAGATACATGCAGTCAATGAACTTACTGTAATTTTGAAACGATTTTAAAACAATGTCGCTCAAAATATTTCTGTAGTTTTTGTTTAGAGTAATGAAGGTGCTATAAACTATGTTTAAATACTTTCAGAATAATGTTCTGGCAATGTGACTTTTACATTGATCAAA